ATATTTGAATTTGACAATTTCAAATTTAAACATTCAAACCTTTGGCAGCATATACAATAAATATTTAAATTAATATATAAATAATGACTTATAAGTAAAATTAATGATCGATCGATCCCTAATTACCAGCTCTATTAGCATATCCTTCTTTCACAAAAATAAAGGGTATGGTTAGTTTGTAATTCTGAAAACAGTTCCTAAAAATTTAGAGAATAGAAAATTGTTTTCAGAGAATTGTAAAAGACAGTTCACTAAAAACAAGCTTTTTATAACTGAATTTTCAGATCCTCAGATCGAAAACTAAACCAAGTAAATTTTTTTGTACAATTTTCTTTTTTCAATTTTCTGAAAACAGAAAACTGTTCTCAGATTTACAAATCAAGTAAATCCAAAATCTCTAGGGTATGCTAATAGAGGTGTTAAATAGGGATTGACCAATCATTAGAAACTTTCTTCTTATTTTTTTTTTTTTTTTTTGTAATATGATCATGTGGATCCACTGTGAACATATTTGATAATTCATTCATTATTAAAATAATAAAAAAATATTAAAACTCATACTCTTACAAATTTTGATAATTCATTCACTATTAAAATAATAAAAAAATTATTAAAACCCATACTCTTAAAAAATTAAATTTTCCAAAAGGAACATTTTAAGATAAAGGAGTAGCTATTAAAGAGTGAGTCAGGTATATCAATTACTTTTCAACAAGAAAGATCTTAAACAGTTTCGTGAAGTCCCATTTCATCAAACTAATAATGCATACTAAGCTTCTACATCATTTTCAAGACAATGAAAGTGTGAAAACTTGCATAACAAACCAAACAAATATGTTAGATGGAGACTCGTGTAGACCACCAACTGCTCCAAAAAAACAAAAAAAATATTATTCCAAAGAAAGTCATTTTCCTGGTAAAAAAGCTCTGGCAATATCGTTAATTTAAAAGCTAAAGTAATCTTCGATATCGTGTCTTGATGTGTATAGATGATGTTCCCGTTACGTTTTCTCACCTTTAAAAACAATTTGGATTTATCAATAGGCGTGTAGTTTAAGTAGTATACGGTTCCAATTTTTAAAAAAGAGATTACGAGTTTGAACCTCGGTAAAAACAGTGTGCGTAAGCCTTAACTAAAAAAAAAAAATTTGGGTTTGACAATTTCTAAGCCAGACAACAAAGTTTTGGCAGCTTATACAATAAAATTTTAAATTAATAGTTTATAAAAACAAATTCTATAAGACTTCTACTTTTTAATAGAAGGTTAGGAGTTCAAATTTTCATAAAAATAATGTATGTGAGTTCCAACTAAAAAATAATAATAATAATAATAAAATAAAAAATTTGGTTTGACAATTTCTAGAGCAGACACCAAAGTTTTGGCAGCTTATACAATAAAATTTTAAATTAATAGTCTATAAAAACAAACTCTAATAGATACAAAGTTTTGGGTTTGACAATTTGCAGACCAGACACCACAGTTTTGGCAGCTTATACAATAAAATTTTTAATTAATAAGTCTATAAAAACAAAGATTTGTTAGTAAGATTATTAATTAGCGAGCAGATTTGGACTGGCATCACCTTCTCGCCTATGCCTTTATTTTGCAATACTTAATAAAGGTCTCCAACGGACCAATTATTGTTACATCGTCCTCGACACAGTAAATGTAGGTTTTGTGAAACGATGCTAAATATTTGTTTTTTTCTTTTCATTTTTTTTTTTTTTTTTTTTTTTTTTTTTTTTTGGTGTGATTATTTTTTATTATATTTTTTAATTTATTCTTGAGTTCGTTACGTTGATATCTATAAAATGTATTTTTCATTACAAATCCAAGAAAAATAACATAAATATAAATGAATGGATATGCAGTATTATGTAAAGTTTTTTTAAAAAAATTGGTTAGAAATATATAGAGAGAAAAAATGTTTTTTTTTTTTTATAAAAATATGATAAGGTAATGTGTATGTGACATTTCTATATTATGAGATTAGTAGCATATATACCTTTTTGGACATTTTTGAAAGATTAAAAAAGTAAAACATGTATTATATTACTAATTTATCACAGACGAGATATTTTACACAATGTGAAAAGATTCAGTTATTTTTTGCATAAATTTTCAAATAGAGAAGAAAAATAATACGTTGAGTATATTTTAAAAGTATTTCTGTACTTGTTCCAATAACAAAAGTAATGTGACAAAATTGAAGAATCAATAAACAAAATTAATAGAATTATTAATAGAAATTTGATCGAAGGCGACCTCTTTCGTCGGCCCTACATCGCTCGGTGCATGTAATCCTTTATATTTATATTTTTCACCCCTTTTTGAAGTGACACAAAAAAGAAATAATAATAATAATATATAATAAATTAAATAAATTAAATTAAAATAATGCTACGCATACATATACTGTATAAATTAAGCAACCTTTGTTGTAAATAAAATAGAGATGTGTCCAAATTTGACAACGAGCTAAACACACATTAATAATTTATTACAGTAAAATGTAATAATCAATTCTTGACAAAATTTAAAATTTTGATATATTATCATAAGATCTTGGAATTCTCAAATTGAGCCAACATGAAGCTCAACAACTGAATATAAATATGGATTCAATTACAATATTAGTCAGGACAAGTCTAACATATAAAAAGGGAAAAAATTAAAAAGAAATCCTATATTTTGGAAAAATTTAAAAAGAAATCCTATTTTAAAAAATATAGGACCAAGTCTTATCATTTAACAAACATTTGAATTTTATTCATTAATTGAACTTAATAATCTTCTATTTTTGAAAGTTGAACTAGGCTTCTTTGTAATTTTGGTTTTGTTCCACTAATATACTGAAACTAGGCCTATTTGTGAAAGGGTCGGTGAGATTGATCATAAAAAACACAACATAAAAGAGCATAAGGTGCAAAAGGTTGTGAATTCAGATTATTTTTAGAAATTCCAAATGTATAACTGTTTGAAAGTATTCTTATATTAAAAAGTATTAAATTAGTAGCTTGAATTTAGTAATTAAAATTTAAAACTAAACTTCCTATAATCTCAAATCTAAAGTACTAATTTAGTACTTCCAAACGTTAAAAAATAATAATAATAATATTAATATATATGTAAAAGGTATTTTTTGGGAAGTTAATATATGTAAAAGGTTAATATATTATATTATTTATTTTGTATTAATATATGTAAATGAAAAATTAGACCGGGTCAGCATAAGAACCATTTTCCACTTAGTCATTCACTTGACCTTTCAATAATTTATTCAGTCTTACATTAGACGTCAAATGATTCGTCATTAGTAAAAGGCTACTATATGATTATTTTTGTATTATTATATGTAAAATGGAAATTTGGCTCCAAGTTCAACACAAGAACTATTTTTTACTCCTTATATTATTCTTCGATGGTGGGCCGGTGGCACTGTCTAAACAAAGTGATGTCCATTATTGTGAAAAAAATATTAAACAAAGTCCTCTCTATTTTTTATTTTTTTAACAAATATTACTCACACAATTATTGCATTTGCAAGGCAACTTGAAACTCAATTCTTTAATTTGAAAAGTGAGAAAATACCATTAAATTAAAGGTTTCGTTTATTTGAACGTAAAATATTTTTTGATATATATATATTTTTGTTTTTGCTCTTTGGTTGTCGTAAAATATTTATGAAGAAAAAAAATATTAAATTTTAGAAAAGATAACTTATTCATCAATTATCAGCAAATTATTTTACACTGCTCGATGGAATTGACCTCAATCTCAACTTAAATTTTTGTCAAACACCTAAAAATAAAAAAATTTACAGCGTAACAGACCGAGCCTAAAATTTTCAATTGGTTTAATTATAGTGTAGTAGTCAACAAATTAATCTAATCTACAAATATATATATTTTTCTTTCCATGAAATGAAACAAGAAAGCAGCCCCCTAATGTATTATGCTTATGCTGACCAAAAGGAGTTGGAAGTAAAACAATGAAAAGAGAGTGAGAGTTTATGCCGATCTCTACACGGCATAAACTCTTACAATGAAAAGATGAGGAGGAAAAAGAAGAAAATTAGGATAGAGTCATAGAGATGGAGGATTAGTCTAACCTTCTAGAAGGTGTTTTGGTTATTCATTTTACAGTGGAAGGATTGAAACGTAAAGGGAGGGAGAGTTAATAATTATTCGTTCTGCCGTTTTTTTTTTTTTTTTTGAATTATTGTTTTGTCTTTAAAATTTTCAAATTAAAACAATAATTTAGTACGAACATATAGTCACTCATTGGTATAACCTCCTCATTCTTAAAGAGGAAGGGAAAAGATTCGAGCCGAAGTTTGTGGGGGTGTTTCACTTATGCATAAACAAAAAAGAAAAAATTTAAAACCATATTTTTTAAAACACGAATATCATCATCTCTCTCTTCTTTTCCTTCTTCAGTTAATCAAAACACTACTATTTTAAATTTCCTCCTCTCATAATTAATGCTAGCTTGTGCTCTAATCTTCAAAGGACGCGAGGTGAGGCAGTTTGACCCTCACATAAAAAGTTGTGTGAGAGTTTGTGGCTAACTTCACAAAAAGTAGTAATAATTATTATTATTATTGAAGTATTAGTGCACCGTGAAGTGACTCCTTGTTTTTGCATTATATTCGTATGTCCAACAAGTAAATATCTATAATCACCAACAGTAAGCCTTTCCGAGTAGATCATAAATGAATATAATAAGAATAGGTGTGTGAATATACACACACAATTACATTGTGTATGCATTACATCAGCGTCCATCACAATTGTCGTCTTCCGCGGACAGCTTTTAAGGCTAGACACTTGTGGGCACTTATCCTCTCCTGTTCCCGCCGGTTCCGATCTGTGGCCCAGACACATGTTCAAGATAATGCGTTTTGACATCCACACAACAAGGGAAGAGGTCCTCACTATTAGTTTAATCACATCCACACACAATAAAGAAGTCCACATTGTTAGTATAAAAACAAGTGTGCTCGCACAGAGACACACACGACACACAAGATTTGTCTGGTCTACTGCATCTGATGGAGCAGCAGCCAGTGACTTCATTCTTTTTCCACCCTTTTCTCTTCTCTTCTCTTCCCATACTATTCATAGCATTTCTCATCAAGAAATGGCTCCTCAATACTTCTACTATCAACAAACGCCTACCACCTTCACCACCAAAGCTCCCAATTATAGGGAATTTCCACCAACTGGGCTCGCTCCCTCACCATCCACTCCAATCTTTAGCTCAACGATATGGCCCTCTCATGCTGCTTCATTTGGGCAGCACGCCCACACTTGTGGCTTCGTCCGCAGAGGCTGCTCGAGAGATAATGAAAACACATGATATTATCTTTTCAAACAGGCCGAAAAATATTATAGCTAAACGGCTTCTCTACGATTACAAGGATGTATCCATGTCACCTTATGGCGAATTCTGGAGGCAGATGAAAAGCATTTTTGTGCTCCAACTTCTGAGTAACAGAAAAGTTCAGTCTTTTCACTTTGTCAGAGAAGAAGAAACATCCCTCCTGATGAAGAAGATTGAAGAGTCATCCTCTTCATCCTCGGCGTTGAATTTAAGCGAAATGTTCTCGTTGCTAACGAATGATGTGGTGTGCAGGACTGCTTTTGGGAGGAAGTACAGTGGAGGGGAAAGTGGGAAGAAGTTTTTGCGGCTCTTGACGGATTTCTTGGTGGTGTTGGGCATTTTTGACATTGGGAACTTCATTCCATGGCTTGCATGGATCAATCATGTCAATGGTTTATATGCTAAAGTGGACAGAGTTGGAAAAGAGATGGATGAATTCCTGGAGCAAGTAGTTGAAGAGCGTACGAATGTCCTGAAAACAAAGAGTAATGGCGACGAGAGAGTTGAAGGCGAAGAAGGCAGGGAGGATTTCCTTGACATTTTGCTTAGGATCCACAAAGAAAATAGTGCTGTTGATAGAGATTGCGTCAAAGCTCTCATCTTGGTGAGGATCTCTCTCTCTCTCTCTCTCTGTGTTTGTGGCAAATTAGAATTTTATTAAAGAACCAGCAAGATACAACACAATACACAGTCCTAAGGAGTCAATACAATAAAGACAACTCATCAGCTAAACAAGAAATGTAAATAAAACAATACAAATGAAACATTTGCATCAGAAAACAGCAAAGAAATAAAAAATAAAAAAAAGAAATCAGCAAATATATCTCGGAACTAGTTGTAGTATATAATCATCTAAATTACCCGCTCTGTTCCAAAAACGAATGTCTGTTTCGAGGAGTCACAGTTTTTCAAAAAGACATTCTTTTTGGGACAGAGTAAGTCACAATTCTAAAATAGACATTTTTTTTTTTTTTTGGGACAGAGTACTAGGCTTGGCCCAACTTAATCTCAACAAAAGCTTCTAATATTTTCTAATCCAATAACATTCATAGCAGGAAGGAGAAAGACCAATCGAAAACCAGCTTTCCAAACTTGGAGCAATCTTACTAGATATTTCTCAACTACTAGCTTTACAAGATAGATATATTCAACTAGCCTCACAAATCTGATCCAATCCAGCGAGATCAATTGTTAATGTAAATAGCATTAAACAAGTCTCAACTTTCCAATGAAAATAGAATGGAGCTTTATCTATAGTGTATAGTGGACTTTGCACAAATTAGTAATCCCTTCTAAAAATTTCTTGGGCTGTATTAAGAAGAGACCAATCCAGCACAACCCTTTACAAATCTGATTGATATGTAGCTGCTAATCATCTAATAATGGAGATAACTTATATTTTGTCATACAACTCTGCGAGAGCGCGCGTGCGGGCACGATGGCTAGTTGCAAGGATATTCACATATATTGAATAGAGTTCAATAACCATCTGAAGTTTTATCTTCTGATTCTTGTAGGACGCCTTCTCTGCTGGAACTGACACGACCTCCACGGTCCTAGAATGGGCAATGACAGAGCTATTAAGACACCCCAGAGTGATGAATAAAGTAAAAAATGAAGTGAGAGAGATTCTTAAAGGCAAACCACATATAACAGCTGATGATCTGGAGGAAATGCACTACCTTAAAGCAGTGATCAAAGAAACTGTTCGTTTGCATCCTCCTATCCCATTACTCGTTCCACATGAGGCGAGCGAAGATGTCAGAGTAATGGGCTATGACATTGCAGCCGGAACAATGGTTCTGATCAATGCTTGGGCAATTGGAAGAGACCCCATGACATGGGTTGAACCCGAAGAGTTTCAGCCTGAAAGGTTCTTGAATTCTTCTATAGATTTCAGGGGGCATGACTTTGAATTGATTCCATTTGGAGCTGGCAGGAGGGGTTGCCCAGGGACCTCTTTCGCAATTGCCACCAATGAGTTTGTGTTGGCAAATCTCGTGCACAAGTTCAACTGGGCATTGCCTGGTGGAGCCATGGGAGAACATCTGGACATGACTGAATGCCCTGGTGTTACAATCCGCAGAAAAATGCCACTCCTTGCTGTTGCAACTCCATGTTCTTGCTAGTGTAATCTGTGACATTGGCATGTTTGTTGCTTGTTTCCTGTTTCTGAGAGTGGAACATATATGTTTTTTTTCCTAATTGATACTCACACACAGACACATGCTTCCACTGATGCTTGAACCCTGACTTTCCTTTGTGAAGTAAGAGCTTGATACCGCCTGTCGGTGAGTGGAATGTATTTAGAAAGTCTGTGTAAATATAGACTAATTATTATTAGCTTAAAGTATTATTGGATTGTGAATTGGGTAATCCGAACTAAAATCCTAAAGGTTCTCTTGTGACTATTACATTTGATTGTGCTACACTCATCTTGTCTGAAATAGATGGAGGAATGTTGGAAAGTAATTCTAACTGAGCACAGAGCTTGACGAAAATTGCACTCGGATACAGGAAGTTGTCAAGTTGATCCACTCAGTAAATAAAAATTTTCAATTAATGAACATAGAGAATAGACTTGGCGTAACTATAAGGTTGCTTCATTGTGATTGGGAGATCACGGATTTGAAACCGGAAATTACTTGTCCCTGAAAACAGAGAGTGGGCCTTGGCACAATACCACGACCCGCCCGATCATCCCCTCTGAGGCTTGCCTCCCAGCCTCTTCAACCGCAATGCCATGGTGCCACTAACAGTTATCTAGTTCGAAATGGGAGAGCCTTTGGGCTGAGAGTGGGCCTTGGCACAATACCACGACCCGCCCGATCATCCCCTCTGAGGCTTGCCTCCCAGCCTCTTCAACCGCAATGCCATGGTGCCACTAACAGTTATCTAGTTCGAAATGGGAGAGCCTTTGGGCTGAGAGTGGGCCTTGGCACAATACCATGACCCGCCCGATCATCCCCTTTGAGGCTTGCCTCCCAGCCTCTTCAACCGCAATGCCATGGTGCCACTAACAGTTATCTAGTTCGAAATGGGAGAGCCTTTGGGCTGGGTTGCCTTTGTTAGGGCTGTTTGCCTTCAGTTGGGGCTTGTATTACTTTTGTGAGTATATGGGCCAATATTTAGTGGGGTTGTAGACTGAAAAAAGTTTAGCGGGCCTCTCCACTATCCCAACTTGGATGTACATATTACTTTATACACATATATACAATATTAACTTCAAATATATATATATATATATATATATATATATATATAAAATAAAGGAAAAAGTGCAATAAACCCCCCTGAACTATTAGTAAACATGCAAAAAAACCCTAAACTACCAATTATGCAAATAACCCCCTGAACTATTCAATTTTGTTGCAGGTTGCCCTTTCCGGCTAACTTTCGGCCAAAATTGGCCTTTATTGAAGCATGTGACAAAGAAACTGAAATTTATGGACAATAATGCCCTTTGAAAATTGAAAAGACAACATAGCCCTTTTGTGATCGTGCCTCTATATACACACATCTGGATCTCCAACTTCATGGCCTTTCCATAAAACACTCATCTCTCTCTCTAAAGTTTATCTTTTGTCCATTAAAGAGTAATAGACGGATAAAGAAAAAACGGTTAAATAAATTATAAATCTACTATACTCACTCACAATCATCTATATATATATATATATATATATATATATATATATATATTTTTTTTTTTCTTTTTCTTATTGCGATTTCATTCTGTATGTTGATATGTAAATTTTTGTGGATTATGACTTTGCTTCCATTGGCAACCACCAATATACAGAGGGAGATAGGCTATATATATATATATACCTACCCACATATACAAAGAGAGGCGATAGACACAAAGATACTATATATATATATATATATATATATATATATATATATATATAATATTATATTCTGAATTTTTTATAGAGAGATGGTGTGTGTGTATTGGAGAGATGGTGTGTGTGTATTCTGAATTTTACATTGAGAGACGGTAGGGTTGTATATATATATATATATATGAGTGGCAAAATGGGTCACACCCCATCAATTCACCCATATCCGCCTGCTTTTTAACGGTTTTGGATGAACCATATTTAAGATGGGTCAAAAATTGGTTGGATAATTTTTAACCACTTAATTTGAGGGTCAAGATGGGTTGAATATGGTTACTCATATTCAACCCATATTTCACCCATCACATAATAGACACACAACACACATATATTCTATATTGCACTCAACTCATTTCTCTCTCTATAATTCTCTCACTCGCGATTAGGGCTGCAAGTTGGGTTGGCTAACCATAACCCGAAATCGGGTTGGGTTTGGCCAGCCTGAATTCTACTCAAAATGGGTTATATCCATAACCCAACCCGAATATTTTGGGCCGGTCGAGCGGTTTTCACAGGTCTAATTTATTTATTTATTTATGTTTTTTTTAACAAATATACAAATTACATTTTCCTTTTCCATGTTTATAAATATCAAAATTTTTAAGAAAATTTTTATTTTTTAAACATCAATATTTTTGGCGGGTCGGTCGGGTTTCAAAGGTCATTTTTTTTATTTATTTTTTTTTATATTTTTTTTTTATACAAATTACATTTTCCTTTTCCATGTTTGTAAACATCAACATTTTAAGAAAAAATTATTTTTTAAACATCAATTTTTTGGGCAGGTCGGTCGGGTTTTATGGGTCATTTTTTTTTATTTAATTTTTTTTACAAATTACATTTTCTTTTTCCATGTTTGTGAACATCAAAATTTTTAAGAAAATTTTATTTTTTAAACATCAGTATTTTGGGCGGGTCGGTCGGGTTTCACAGTCAATTTTTTTTTTTCAAATATGCAAATTACATTTTCTTTTTCCATGTTTGTAAACATCAAAATTTTTAAGAAAAATTTATTTTTAAAACATCAATATTTCTTCTCTTTCCTTCACTTCTTTCTCTCTAAAATGAGTCGATAAATATTTTTGAGTTTGAAAGTGTTTTATTTTTTATTTTTTATTTGTTATTAAATAAAATTTTAATAAAAAAATAATTAAAGGGTCCACAGGTCATAACGGGTTAACCCTATACATTTTTGACCTGTCCATTTTCAACCTGTTCTGAACGGGTTGAATATGGGTCTTGACCCATGTTTGACCCGCTCAAGTTCAACCCAATCCAAACCCGGCCAACCCACACATTTGCCACCCATAATATATATATATATATATATATATATATATATATATATAGTGGTTTAGGGATTTTTGGGAAATTAGGAGGTCTTTGGGTGTGTGTGATTGAGTGTTTTGGATCCAAGTGTTACAAAAAAAAAAAAAAAAGAGCTTCATTTTGTGTTCAAATCAAGGTTATTGCATCTTCTGACAAATAATCATGATTTTTCAATTCAAACCAAGGAGATTCATATACAAATTGAGCAAAAAATGAAGTCCAGTGAGCCAAATTGAAACTAAAAATCAGAGAGTTCTAAAATCTTGATCTGAACAGTAAACTTTAATACCAAAAACAGTAAGCTTTATGGATTAAACCAACAAAGAACACTGACCAACTGAAAAAGGTTGAGTATAACGATTCAACAGGCGAACCAAACCGCATCGATCAAACTGACGACTTGAAAGATTCAAACCATCCATTCCGGATAGCTCCAAGCAGCAGTGTCCATTGAAGTCAGCGAGTTTCGAACTGAAGCTGTTTGCCCTTTTAACAAGTTAAATTGCCCCTTTTGTAAACTCAACTAATTAGGGTAAGAGGTTTCTAGACTTTGCAGCAAGAGAGACTGCTATGGTTTCATGGGTAAGGGTTTTAGTGGTTGCAAGAAGGACTTGCAGAGCTTTGCAAAGGTTGATGACGTGTCGAATTTTAAGTGGTTCTTTAGATTACAAGGGGCCACATCATTTAGTCAACCTTATCTCTTGAAGGTGTATTGTTGAATTTTTATTGGCCCTTGGATTTCACTTTACAACTAAGCAACTTAAGTGACTAATGCTTCAAACTATGTCATTTTAATTGAGGGTAAAGGGGGTTAATTGCAAAACCCCAATAGTTCAAGGTGATTTATTGCACTTTTCTCTATAATAAATAACAAAGATGAATAATAACACAATATTAAAATGGCATTTGATGATAATACAATCAAATTGAAACTACAACTTGAATAATATAGAAGAATGTATCATACACTAGCACATGATATAATAGTATTTAAAGTAACCAAATTGATAGTAAGCAGAAATTAGAATATGTACATTGTATAAAATAATATAATGAAAACAATAATAGTAAAATAGTTAGGAGAAAACTAGCCAAAATAGTCAGCGACAAGCTAGGCACTATTCTAAAGTCATATGGCCTCCCTACATAGAGATGTTAGTGATCCAATATGGTTCCAAGATACAATCTGTATTCCCCAGTAGTCTTCTTCAGACACTTTCAAAGAAAGACAAAGTTATACCAGACTTGTACCGAAGTTGTCCTAAATTCAATATGTATGATAGTGTCAAACACATGTCTAATGAGAAGAGGGAAAGATAAAGATAAAGAGGGAGAGAGACTCTTCTAAGAATACTACTACCTCATAAATGTGGAAATCCCCTTTTATAAGCTTTGGATTGTAAAAGTTTTAGTATCATAAATATAAATTTAAAATAAAAGGGTAAATTAGTTACCTCCCCAATAGTAAGGGTTTATTACACTTACCTTTCCTATGTTTTAGATTATTACAATCATGCCCCTTCTAGCTACATTTATGTAACCTTGTTGTCAGTTTCTCTAACGGCCAGGAATAATCAGTTTCAATAACGAATAATATAAAGTTACATAGATATCCCAAATCATACACATATTAGATCTGTAGTAGCAAGAGATCATAGGGAAATTGAAGACTATCATCTTAGAAATATTTGACAGAAGTGTCTCTTTGTCTCTATATATATACTAGTAAAACACACGTACGATCACGTGATGAAAAATTATTTTATAATCTTAATTAAAATATTTATATAAAAATTATCAAAATAAATTATTTTTTTTCAAATAATTGATTAGTAACTTTTTTGAGTAATTAAAATTTAAATATTTATGAAGTGAAAATTATAATATATTTATAATATTATAATGGAAAGATTTAGATCTATATTTATATTTAGGAAAGAGTTAGAAATATAATAAAATAGAAAAAATAAAGTTGTTTTAACCTTGAAGAATTCTAAGCATAATAGGAATTATTTTAATTGGTAACTTATATGATTTATTTTAATTGGTAATGTAATGACCCTGTCATTTTCCTTCCTTTCTTTTTTCTCAAATTTTACAGATGAATCTTTTTCGC